ACTTGTGCATATCACTCAGGGTAGCCTCACTGATAAATTACAGATTTGTTTATGAGACGACATCCAACAAATCATTTGAAAAATCTCTTTGTTCTGAATTAATTACCTTTCTTTGATAATGTAAATTAAATGCAATGCTTCACTGAAACTAAGATATTGTAAGAGTTTCATTGCTTATTTCATCGCACATGATCTGCCAAAGTTCTTTCAACAGTTGAGCATATTTTTTCAGTCCCTTAAGCAGTTTCTGATTTTACAAGAATTCATGATAATGTAACCCGTTTCATGCATTTTTGAGCAGTTCCATGATATTTCTGCACAAAGTCTTCAACTTGTAACAATTCTTAAAAATACTCACATTCAGAAGCAATTTTACAAGTCCAGGTCACACACCCTGAAGCTCAACAAACCCAGTAACATGACATTTGTGTTATTCATATTCATATTTCCCCCAAAAGACCTCTTCCAAGGCCAGTCCAGAGTGTGGGCTATCCGTGAAATGTTCAAACAAACTATGAGTCTTCTCCCCGCCTCCTTAAAACTAAACAATGCATTTTTACTGGATAACATGTTTTAGCTTTCTCTGATTTGAATGGTTTCAAAAAGGTCAGTCGTGAATATGGAATACTTCTCCCAGTTGATGTGCTCTGGAGCTGGGTGTTAACCAAGCACCTCTTTGTCTTTACCTTTTTGTAAAGCCTTTCATAAATATGTACTGTATGTGTAACGCATTGATGAAGTCTATTGGTCCTCTGCACCGATTTATCCCTAGCCTCTTATATTATGTTAATGATATGGATGTTGCTGTATAAATGTACTAATGAATGGGCCTTGAGCAGTGACTATTAAACGCTATTGGGGGTATACTATGTTTATGTAATATGACGTTGAAAAATCCTTTCAGCAAATGAAGTTCTAGTCCCTATTAGTCCCTTGAACCGATTAGTTTATTTTGATTACACTGTAAGATTCATGATACATCAGTATGTTTGCTCTTAAACGAACTTATTCTTTTCTTAGTTTTTACCTTTTTTAAATAATGAGGTTACATAAATGATACTGCATTTATTCGGATTGTTTATTACTTTTGTGTCTTTGCTATATTATTAATGCTATTTTCTGACCAGAGAGACAAATGCTTTAAGTGAGATCTAGGTGACCATCAGTCAAGTCGATCTCGACAGTCCTTTGTTATAAATAATTGGATAATTGAGGCAGCTCTTATGTGTGAATTGAAGTCCTGTGATGCGGACCATATACTTATTAACACGAAGAACCTGAAACCTTGAAGTTAGATGAATACATTAGCAGTAAGCGAGGTGTCGTTCCAGTGGTTTAAAAGATTCTCCCTACATCCTGGACATGTTTGAACATTTCCATTCAACACTAAATGAGTTGAAAGTGCATCCTTCAATTGCATTTCTGTGAACCCTATTGGGACTGATTTCCACTGGATTTATTGAGGCTGCAGCTTTCATGAACGAAGGTGAACAAATTGTCTGCTTGTTCCTGAGTTTTGCAGTAATTACACAGCCTCATTGTATTGACTCTTAAATTGCGCTCCACTGTCCCTGTTAGAACCTTAAGCTGTGCCTAAATACTGTATGGATTTTGTCTTGAGACACACATTGTGATATTTGCAACTCAAAAATCATCTTGCTATTTCTACTGAAATGCTTAAGATCCAAAACTGTGCCAAACGAACATTTTCTAAAGTTTAAACTATTGGCTTTTAACCCACAGACTATGACTAAATACCAGTTTTAGGTGTTGATTGCAGCCTGATATATGCTTATGATTACTATGTTTGTAATTTGTACACAAATATCTCTTTAAACGGTGTTCTGCTTGCACAGATGTCAAATGTGGACCAGGTTGCCTTGCCACAGTTTCCTCACCACTGGTTTTTTCATGACAGAGTGTAATTACTCAACTGGAAAAAGGGAATTGTGGTGGAAAACCAACCCTTTTTATCCTCCTAAGTTATGGCTGGTCACAGTTCAGGAGTCTTTGCAGTAATTAATTCTGCTGCTCACTTCCCATGAGGGCAGTGGATGCCGTCCTATTCACACCTATACCTCTGTTAGTTCCTTTGTCATTTCTGTAGTCTGTGGTCTTCTTATAATGGAAAATCAAATTTCCCTTTTTCTTTAGATTATAATAGGAGTACGTTGTTTATAGATTTCTCTAATTGAGACTTCTACTGACATCTCTGACATCCAGGAGAGCATCCATCAGGAGGTTTCTGTAAGAGCAAGCAGACAGAAAGCCTCTGTGTAACCTCTGCTCTGCTCTGTGCGCTCAGTGAGGAATTGGAGCCAAACGGAGCTTTATCAGCGAAATGTAATGAACTCTCTGCTAGGTGGGAGTATTAAAATGTCCCCCTGTCCAGCGTTTCAGCATCATTATCCTTTCTTTGCAGCACTGAAGCCATTTTTTTGGACAGACTTCTTAATTACTAAGATGTGTTGAGGATTTATGTAAGCTTTCCTGATCATTTTAGTCTCTAACATTTCAATACATTTGCTATTGTATAATATAACCCGCTCCTGAATTTTCCCTAATTAGATTAAGTTGTCTGTTTCAACTCAATACATTATTCACTGAATTATACTAAGCTCATCCATAATGAAGTTATTCAATGTAATCACTCCAAAACAGAGCTGAGAATTATATCAACTACACTTGCCATATTAACAATAAATCTACCTTAATTGCATCTGTTATATTCACACAATATTTCCGCAGACAAATTGTATTGGGCAAAAAAACCTGTATAAAGATGATTATTTCTAATATGCACATTTGCTTTGGGTGAAATTAGTTTTGAAGCTGTCATTGACTATTTTCATTACTAACAGCAGGTCTCTGAGACACAAATCATGCTTGATGCTTTGTTTTTTATTTATTTAAAGAGCTAATCACTGCAGTCTTTCATTTAGTCTCAATAATGACTTTGACCAACATCACAAGTCCTGCATATTGTGTGTGCTACTAAAATAAAAAATACATATCCTCTTAGGATAGCAGGAAATATGTGTGAGAGTAACACTAATTTAATCAGATCCCCAGAGGATGTCTTACAGTTTATACACACTGGTACCTTTCATGAAACGTACTAATGAACAGTAATGAATTGTGATAAGAATAGACAGAGCAATTCTTTAACAAGCGTGTTGAATGTGATAATCAGAAGCAGTTTGAGGCTGAAAAGATGTATGCAGGGGTGGAATCTAGCATTTCTCCTGTGGAAAATGTGACCTTTACCCTGCTTGTTGCAGCTAAAAATACATGTGTCTCAATCACATAATAACATTATGAAACAACATCCTGTGCTCTGCTACCTTGCAGATGAGGCACATTTTTCATATTTTACTTTCTGCTGGTTTCACAAAATGGACAGCTCTTGATAGCTAACCAGATGTGATTTAGGGTATCGTCATTTCTCTGCTGCTGCAATTTGGAATTTTACCTGCATTGCAGAGCACTAATAACCACTTCAAATCCATTACAGCTGTGTCAGTGCCATTCTGATAAGTGACTAATGCGAATTGCTCAGAGAGGCAGAATGACTAAGTGGATAGTTGGTCATTTAAACTACTGTGAATTGCTGTACAGATTTAGGCCATGATGATTGAGATTTACAAAGCTGACAGTTACTGTAAAATGCAGAGTCAAAACACTAGTGTTAACAAGGTTCAAGGTATCAATAGCGTTTACTGAGACAACCCACGCACTCATTATTTTTAATTATTCCCACCTATTAATTTTGTTTTATTGCAGGCTTTGTTACACCGTCAAACTCTTTTTTCAGTAAGCATTCAACTCAGGGAATTATCAACACAACCCTCCAAAGTATTTTAGAAAATATCCTTTTTTGTTTTGCGGCCAGAAACGTTATCATTTCGATTTAGTCTCTTAGCTCTCATCAACCCTGGTCCAGATCCAGAGCAGGCAGCTGTTCTCTCCGATAAACACACCATACAGGACAAGCCTAGCACCAAGCAGCAGGCAAAAAAGAGTTGGTGACTGTCGGGTCAACATGGCCTTTCACTTCATGTTCTCATCAGGAGTTAGCAGAGACTAAAACCAAACAAAGGAGAAGTGAATATAAGAATCTGTGTGGGACTTTTTGTCCATAACCAGGCTTCAAAGAAATACTAATGTCTTCTGAAATGTGTTAATCAGCGACAGTTTGATGTTCGGCTTATCAACCTAATGAAGTAATAATATGTCAAAGCTTTCCGCGCTCTCCAAGTAGCCAATACTCCAATACTATTTGAATCTCTTCTGTCCAGTCTAATATGTATCTTTGCAGTTAAATGTGCAGGGTCTTAAATCCTATTTATATTTTAATCTTGGTCCTTGAACCCAAGGACTATCATTATGGATGGCAGATGGTCAGAAATAGTATCATCTCTTCCCAATTTGTGGTGACTTAAAGAGGCCATGAGGTAAACAACAGGTGTTGCTTGAAAACCAGAATGCAGAACAGCAGCAAACCTTACACATAAACTAAATTGTGGAATAGTTTTTAAGATATAGTTGTTTTGACTTCATCTGACAGCCTTTTGCCTGCAGCATATAGAGCAATGTTCCAGTGCAGATTCTGAGGAAAGAAAGTCTTTCAACAACATATTATATCCTTTCTATTGAGGTGCACAAATGTATTTTGGGTTTACAGATGAAATAGGGACAATACAGACTTCATGCACTGCAAAGACAGAACTTATTGCTTTCCAGAAATATACATGCACATTGCAATGTCAAAAGTAAACCCACCAAGCTGAAAAATAATAAGCAATAAGCAATCAAGCAGCCTTCTATCTTGTAATCAGACACAGTTTGTATTTTTGCTGCATTTGTATTTCCATCAGGGGGAGATTCCCAGTGCCAGCCATCTCTATGTATGCCATGTACAGTATAATATTTACACCAACACGTTACACATTAAAGAAAATATGGCATTAACACTTTTTTTGTCTTCCCTTTTAACCCAGAATTCTTCCTGGAGCTACTGGAAAACACGGAGAGGTCCCTGAATGAGATGTTTGTGAGGACTTATGGCAAGCCTTACATGCAGAACTCAGAGGTCTTTGAGAACCTGTTTGCAGAGCTGAAGCGCTATTACACAGGAGGGAATGTTAACCTGGAGGAAATGCTTAATGACTTTTGGTCGCGGCTACTGGAGCGTATGTTCACGCTGCTCAACTCCCAGTACGTCATCACTGAGGACTATCTGGAGTGTATCAGTAAGTACACCGACCAGCTCAAGCCCTTTGGAGACGTGCCCAGGAAACTCAAGGCTCAGGTTACCCGGGCATTCATCGCTGCACGCACATTTGTCCAAGGGCTCTCTGTTGGCCGGGAGGTTGCCCAGAGAGTGTCTAAGGTAACAGCGCTCACCACATTAGTAGAATTTAACTGGATAATAAAACACCCAATCAACTGCCTGCTTCTGTAATTTACCATTCTTAAACAAAAACATGTTTTATTTGATTGCACTTTCTGATTCTGTTTGAATATATTCAGAATTTGGCCTGAGTGGAAATCAAGATTTGCACAAGGTATTTTTGGGCAATTCTACCTTGGCAGCAAGCCAGCCTCTGGTTTTCAACTGAAAACAACTTCCTCCCAGATACCTTTCTGACAAATGTGTGCTCCTTTTGTGCATGTCTTCAGCAAGCTTAGGACTTAAGGCAGTTTGTTCAAGTGCTCTCTAGAAAACAATTGCCGAAAGGTCCGTGGATTGCTCAGGAGAAATGCCCACGCAATGAAAAAGTAGAGAAAATAAATGTTGTGCCATAGATGTTTATTGCTCTATTTCTTAACATTTGTTCACCCAGTGTACAAAAGCCATTAATCATGCTCTAGCCTTGGTATTCTGTTTGATGCGATGTAATCTTATTGCAGCTTTTGCAGTGTATCATACTGCTCTCGGACTATGTGTAGTTTTGATCATGTACAAAGTAAGATTAAAGGAAAAGCAAGAGGCTAAGGCTGGGCTTTAGTCACACTTAACAACAACAGGGCTGTTTCTACACGCCATCTTATGGGCTGAGAGGAGCACTCTGATAAGGCAAATCCCCAACCACCCTGGTGTCTTTCACTCCTCTATTGATATCAGTATCAGTGGATTATCAAATATTTATAGATCTGCTGTACAGTATATACTCAGAAGGCAATGAAAGTATTATAACACTCAATCATCATAAACAGAAAGGAAGACACTAAGGAGAAGTCGAAGAAATCCAGAATGTGTTTTCTTGCTCCACCATGGTGCACTCGTTGAACTTTAAACTAATCCCTTCACTATGTGTATCAGTTCCCCCCCTCACTAGTAGTAGCGGTGCTCATTTCGAAGCTGCCACGGAGGATGTGTTGTTAGTATGCGTTTACTGAGTTACACTCTGCGTTTCTTACAAGCCAGCATCTCCCGGCCTCACCTCTTGACATTTCAGTGGGACCTGAGATCCAGGTCATGTGTCTGGGACCGCAGCCCTTTGATCCCCAGGGTATAAACTCATCCTGAGGGATTGGGTGTAAGCATAATGGAATAAGACACGCTGATAGAGATTTCTGAGGCACAGCGCCTCTTAAGATGTGACATCCACACTTATTGCTGCCCTGATGTATTGAATTAAAGAAGATGATGTAGGACTTTATTGCTTTTCACAGCTTAAGAAACACAGAACCTGGCGGAGCTTTGAGGAAGCAGAAAGTCCTGTTTGGAGTCTGCCTCTCACAAACAAAGCTCATAGTGATCCCATATAATTACCCATACAGCAACAGGCTATTGATACTTAGAACATATATGAGCTAACAACTTTTTTTTACTGAATGCACTCACTATAGTAGACTGGCAATTCAATAAGCAAACATGTAAATTATGTTAAAACATTGTGCATTCTTTGTCATTAGAGTCACAGTGACCGTTAATGGGCTGCATCAACTCTGTGATATTGAAATATTATATTTCTCAGTATGTTTCCAGTGTACATTACCACGGGAGGGATCCTTTATTCTATCAGTCACTTGATTGCATTTTGTCTTTACAAAAATATGTTTGTCGATTAATACAATCACTTCTATTCCAGAATCAGAATCGGCTTTAGTAGGTTACACATACGAGGAATTGGCTTTGGCATACTGTATGTCGTGCATACAGAGACACAGAATGAAGAATATGTGGTAAAATGAAATAAAATAAAAATAGTACTGTTATAACAGCTATTGTAAAAAAAAAAACTATTTTAAGACTATTATAACAATTTTAAAATATTTACACAACATAATTACGTGAGAAACTGGGTACAGTCAAATATAATAAAATATGACAAATACTAAATACTGTATTTCAAGTGGAGAGCTGTGCTGACTAAAAAAGCTAGTGTGCAGACATTTTTTGCAGGATTTACAATTTTTAAAAGAACAATTTCTATCTATACTTCTACTACTACCAATACAAATGTAAATTCTAATAATAATAATTACTACTTTAATATCTCCTAATGACCTCTACTGTGTATTAGCTGAGAAGAGCACCGTGTGAATTTGTTGAGGCTGCCCTACACCTGTCTGAGGTGTGATAGGTGTTGGCAGGAGCATTTTTAGAAGTTGGTATGTGACAAGTCACACCAGCTGTCTATGAGGTGATGTGTGAGCGTTTTCTGTTAGACACGGCGGTGTGTTTGAGTCTCCTTCTACTCTTTGGAGCAAACATAAAATCCTCAAACCAACTTTTATATGAGGTAGTGCTCCAGGAACATCAAACACCAACACAGATCCCCAACATCATGTAATTTCCCTAATTCCTATTTTATCTTAAGATCTTATAATTGTTTGTTTTTTTCTACTTTTTTCATACAAAATATCATATGACTACAGCTGAGACAAAATGCTCCCGCCAGACTTTTATCACATTCAAGGGAGTGGACCCTTGTCACAGTAGATTTAGATTTAATTTTTGAGATTGTATCATTACTTGTTCCTAAAGCTTGGATGATTATGTATTTTTATCTTTTTGTCCCGTTCTGCAACCTCCACAGATACTTGATGGTAGTTTTTTTTTGTCAGAGAATAGTATGTATGAATTGCTCTCTGGAAATGGGGAGTATTCAACAAATATGCAGCATTACCCACATTAGTTCAATATAATAAGGAATATAGTAGTAGATGTAATCTACATATACATAAGAGCTTGATTTGAAAGATAGATACCTTTTTCTATGATTTTATTGCAGGCTACACGTTATCTCCAAGCAGTTATGTGTCACGTTTTGTTTAGCCTCCACAACTGTATATTTAATTGTTTGCTAAATCATTTACAGTCTAACTCTGCAGCATGGAAGACAAGCATGATGACAGTAGGTATACTTTAATACAATGACATTAAATAGTCTGGGCTACTTTTAGACCAGTCTATTTAAAACATTATCAATGGTGGCTTTTCACTAATAATCATTAGAGATGATTCTATAGTTGCTTGGCAACAACAACACAACAACTCTGTAGGTGGATCTGCTTTAAAGTTACTAACGTCAGCCTTGCATCGCTGTGTGATCAGGTTAATCAGAATCAGAATACCTTTATTAGTCCCACAGAGGGGAAACCTATTCAATTTACCATTGAATAGGTTTCAAGGCATGGAAATGACCTTTCCTATCATGCTGCGATAATGCTTTTCATAAGTTAATTAACGTCTGGCTGAAGACAATAAAGCTTTGATGATTTGTAGGCAAAGGGAGGACAAGGCCTTAAGAATTTCTCTTTTTCAGGTTCTCTACAATTGATTTATTTAGCAGTAGCCTTTATTTAAAGCAAGTTAAGCTGAATTAGAGTGTCTTCAGTACTGCAAACCTGCTTTGAGTGATGTTTTCAAAAACAAAAGTTTTGTTTTTCAAAGAAAATTAGACATTAATGAGTGAGTGCATGGCATGTCTGTGTTAGTCTCCGAAGGTGGGTTTTCAGTCTGAAAGATGCTTTATAAGATGCCTGTTGGTGCTTCATGGAACACAATCAAAAATCCATTAGCTGCAACCCAGGAGCTTTAATTTCAAACCTTTTGACAGAGCTCCAGAGTGCAAGCATTTGCGTTTGCAGGATAAGAATGTTGAGTGCCGACTGCTCTTAAGAAATTATCTAATTAAATCAGCCTCACAAGGTCACACAGTCCAGTTTATATTCCTGGTATTTGCTATCTGAAATGTCACCATGCTGGCTTACACGTAGCAAAACAGACAATCACTGAGAAGATGTTGCAGTTTGTTCGCACAGAGTCTAGACATGAGGACTGAATCTAAATCAGCGACCCCCGCTGTTCACCAGAATCATACCCAGTTGAGTACATTTTTGATTTACAAAAATACATACAAATGCTTGGTTTGAACAAGCACCATATGTTCAATGTGCCACATTAAGCTGCACATAAACTCCAATTTGTACTCTGGTGGTGTAATATAAAAAGGAAACTTAATTTAAGTTAAACATAGCAACAGTAAAAAATAAACACTCAATTAGTGCTGCAACCAATTGTCAAACTGACTGATTATGTTGTTTTCCACTTTCTACAAATTCATTATGAATTCAATAGTAGCTAATTAATACATTTAAATTCTACCCACTAAAATAATCCTGTGGTTTTGATTGAAATCTTTTCAATGTGCCTCCATAATCATATTTATGGCTTTAGAACTGAGCGCATCTTAAAGTGGAGCTTCTAAACTCATCATAAGCAAGACATCTGCTTTAGTATTGATCATATGTCAAGAAATACATTATTTAGTTTCAGCATTTCTAAATCAATTTCTGTAACAGTCCTGTTTTAGAGGTCTTGGATATCTGTGAAGGATGTTTTCGGCTACACAGTCTTCCACTACGGCCCTCTCCATTACCAAACACTTCATTATTTATTCATTAATCCAGCTCTAAAACACAATGGTCAATTTAATGTTGTTTGGGCTGGTGAAGTCATGTTGCTGGTAAAGGCTTCTTTTCCATTGATGGTGGAGAGGTTTTCTGTGAAAACACACTGAAGAAATAATGTCAGCTTATCATGGCTAATCATCTGCTATTTATTTGTTGGAGCGTTGTATTTCCTGATGAGTGTGATGACTGATGAAACCTTTCTGCCCTCTTCAAGCTGCGCCTGTCAAACAATACCATCAATTTCCTTTATGGAAAGAAACAACTGATAAAGATGAATGAAATGTATGAATTCTAGTTTTACTGATGTAAATATTTGTCATTATGTAATATTTGACATTTAAATGTGGGGTTAAATGATCTGAAAACATACACACACACTGTGATTGACAGTGCTCACAAAGACGTTTAAAAGCCTTGTCTCGGCTCTAATGGCATTTCTGAACATGCTCGCTCTTATTATATCTTTGACTGAAGCTTTTTTTCAAAAACAGACAATATAAATCTAATCACTGGTATTACACATTTACTGCTCACTTTGAACATGCCAATAACCCTCAACTGTGATGCGTTCAGCAAAATTGCCTGAAAAGAACATGGAAGCATGATGGAATTAATGTATTACTAAATGACAAAGTGTAATTTCCGTGTGTGTTTTTGGTGCTAATGCCAGCTGTCTCACTCTGTTCCTGCAGGTAAGCAGCACTCCAGCATGTATTCGGGCTCTGACCAAGATGCTGTACTGCCCCTTTTGTCAGGGCATGCCGACAGTTGAACCGTGTAAGAACTACTGCCTGAATGTCATGAAGGGCTGCCTGGCCAATCAGGCTGATCTGGATCCAGAGTGGAATCTGTACATCGGTAAGTCTCTCCAAGCGTCGCTCCAACCGTTTCTCACCTCACTCCTGCTGTTATTTCCCATTAGACCCATTCAATGTTTTTTTGTGTTTATGCTTTGGTGTTGGCTCTGCACTATAGTTAAATAGCTCTAATGGATGTGGTGGATTTGGGGGAAAAACATCATGTTGGCACTCTCAATAATGAAAGCATTTCTGTTTTACACATAGGTGTTAAGGCACTTTAAGGCTGGTGTTTAATTGTCATAAAGAAGGGAATGTATTACATTAAGTGTATTTAAATACCACTAAATTTATAGCACTGAAAGATGAATTTAGCACTTCAGTTTCCCTGATCTGGCATGTTACATTTTGCAGCTAGCTATTGATTGAAGGATAACAATTAGTTTGCCTTTCATTTCTTCCATTAGGTTGATTTATAAGCTCAATGTTTGTGACTACAGTAAAGCATTTAACAATGTTTTAAATGGTTTGATATTATAAATGAAATGTTAAAATATGATTCAGGTCCAAATATTTATCTTGTAAGTCTGCAGGATAACAGAACCAGGAGTGTTGTGTTGTCAAGTTTGACTTTCTATGTTAGGAGAGGTTACAGCTGGTGCTGTGTTGTTATCACGTTTTGACAACATCATTTCCATTGACACACATCGGGGCCTTGGATAAAAAGCTGCTTTATTAGTCATTCTTCTATCAGCGTTTGAAAAGATTTTATTCATGGGATTCTGCTCTCCTGCTGGGCTAAATGAGGACTTGTTATAGGGCAGAAGTTCACAGCGCTGAGTGTCAAGTTTTGAGGAGAAGTTCAATGGAAACTTGTTTAGCTAAGAGACGAACAGTGCAAACACGAATGCGATATTTATATATTTATTCAATATTTCATAGAATGTCTAACATAGATGCAACATGTTGTCATTTAGATAGAAATATCCTATGGGGTTGATCTAAAGTGGTGAAAATGAGAACGTAAAACATTTCAATCCCACCACTGCAAATGTTTGAATAAATTAACATACCACCGAAGCATGTTTGAGCAATTCGATGTTTCTCTATTCACAAAACATCAATGTTGTAATGTGTTTTTTAATCATCGTGAATGTTTACAAAAATGTATCCAATCAAACATGATATTGGGCAACGAGCTAATCCCTCCCATCACATAACACCAAGTGAAGCTTGTTGGTTTATTAGCAGAGCAATATCATGGGGCAGAGAGGCGTTTTCACATTTTCAGAAGACTGGTTAAGATCTTATTTTTTTAATTACTTCTCATCCTCCAACTCCTGATCCATAATTGCTAGTTGAGGATTCTCCCAAAGCGAATGCTCGCATATCAAGCTCACTTATCAAATCCCTGAGAGATTTGATCACATCCCTCTTGAAAGTATTCCCCCGCACACTACTGAGTCACTGGAAAACATGTCACAAACAATAACAGAAAGGAAATTGACTGTAAATGTGTTTCCCTGGGACCTAAGGCTGAGACTTAAGACTCACAGCAACAGATACCTCCGAATCGATCCACTGTGTGTTACCCAACAAATCCCTACTTACATGTACACATCCAGCAGATTCTAAGCATTGGATGATTTGACCTTAATGTTTACTCGCCTGTTAGCTAATGTTTGGACCTTGTGTTTGTGATGTTGTTGTATTTTGGCCTGCTTAATGTTCCATACTCCTCACCAGTGAATCGTTATCTTTGGCACTCGGCCATTTTACAGTGCGCATGTAGTGTAGAACCGGCTTGTGCAGGCTCGTGACCTTGGAGCAGCTGGACAAAGTTTTGTTGAGCCATTGGGACTATATAGACCAGCGAACCAAAACAATGAGCGGATCAAAGAGGACTAAAGCTGCAGGGTGAAGGCTTGGATTAGCAGCATTACCAACATGTTCACATTACAGAGTCATTAGAATCAGTTTTATTATCAAAATTCCTAATGGAGCTTTACATATATATTTGATGTGGACTCTGAAGAAAAAACTGCAATGACCATGTACAACAGAGATGTGTAAAAAGAGCAATTGCATCAAAATAAAACCCTGTTTTTTCTCAACAATAACTTTGTTGAATACCTATCTAAGCATATATTTCATTTCTATTTTTTGTTAGGAATGAATTAGGTTAAGGAGCTTTGTTTGTTACGCAATGAACGGAAAACACCATCCAAGGTTTCTGAAAAATGATTTCTTAAGCTATACATCGCATGATGAGAGGAAATTAAGGGACATTTTGAAGAAAATGTTTGGCAACAGATCTGTTAAAAATATCCAAAGTGTCCAGGATGTCTCTACGTATTTAACAAGAACAGTGCAGAGGAGCTCAGTGTGGGAGGAGAAGGAACAGGTTGTTAGGTCACTTTCTTTTAAAAGGTAGTGTAGTGGATTATTAACACACAGTAATAGAGTGGTGCAGTGACGCCTGCAATCATAAAACTAATCGATAGATTTATGATCGATAGATTTATGATTCGAAAATTATAAAAGTAGGGTAGACATGTGGATATTATCCAGCTGAACAAAACGTGCATTTATCTAACAGGTCTTAAAAAAAATGTGTTGTTCACATGTCGTCCATCTATCAATCGTCATATCGTCAGCAAATAGTACTTGTTGGGGAAACTCCTGAAGCAATAGGAGTCAGGACTCAGAGAGACACGAGGAGAGCTGGAGCTTTGATGGCAAACACTGATGGTTTATTACGAGCTTCGTCCGGAGAATTCACAAGACATGTCACAGGCCACGGTTTGACCACACGGTTGAGATGCCACAATCAATTCTGAAGAACCCTCCTGTAGCTCGAGGTTTTAAATAGTTCGGAGTGTAATAATCAACATTCTTCAATAGATAGACTAAACAGCTGAGGACACTGAATCACATTTTTTGTCGCTTATGGCTCGGGGTCATCTACACCCCGAGAAGGATGTGTTCCAGGTGTCCCACAACAATAACTATCTCTCACCGAGAGTTGCTCGGTCACAAACTGGTAACAACAACAACTTGCTAGGGCAGCCCCTCCTTAAGGGAGATAACGGCTGCTCAAGGTTGGTCAGCTGCATCAGAGGGCGAAGGAGGACATGCAGGGCAAATTACTCCAGACCTATTTACAGACCTTATTTCGAGCTATTTTCCAAAATCCTGTGGAGAAATCCCATTGCTTTCTTGTCGAGGGAACCCATGCGCAGCTTACCTCTGGGTTTTAGGACACGTCACTGCACCACTCTATTAACTCAACCAACCACTCAAAACCTGAAATAGCCTGTAAGCAGCTTTGTGCGAGCATTTGCTGCTTTTGATCATTAATTATTCAAAAGACACAACACAGAGAAATTGATAATGAAAATAATTGACCTAAAAGCATATTCTCATAATAAAAATAAAAAGTAATTTGCCGAGTAAACCTGTTGCTCTCAAAGCTGTCGGAAATTGGTTGCTAAGAAACACCTGTCACAGCTTAAGTTCAACTGGCCAAACAGCATTTCCTGTCTGCCTGCTCTTAAGTTGGAATCAATGTACAGTTTTGTTTATCTCTATTCATCTATTAAAATAATTCCCTTCACTCATCAATCTTTACCAATACAATGCAATATATATTATGTGTCAGTAACATATTCTGTTGTTGCATGCTTAAAAAGAGTCCAACTGTATTTTAAATAAACAAAAATGTTCTACATTTATTCCACTAGCAGCTCAGACGAATTAAATGAGACAATTTTACATTTCCGCTTTTTAATCGCAGGGCAGCATTCACTCTATCTTCATCAGGGCTCTTGTCAATTGGATTATTGTTCCCCTGTGAAGATTAAAAGCCAGTTGTATGTCTTTTGACTCTGACATTCCATGCTCATTAAAGGATGAATGATTTTCAATTAGCTTAAGGTCTAACCACAGAAAAGGTATTGACTTGGCTCTTGGTGTTAAATAATCAGGAGGGCTCTGTCATGTTCAGCACAGACAGAGATATTGAAAAGTGGAACGCAGTATAGATGATGCTTGTAGCATTCTAATCATTCTCTTACATAGCAGTAAATGATTATTACTCATTAACTGTTCGACTGTAAGGCCTCTCGCCGTTATTTACACATTGTGGTCAGCTAAAAATGGGTTTTATCTGTTGGTAAAAAAGAATAACAAGCTTTGTCTTGAGGCCTCAGGGAGAGATATGGAGGAACACCTCAGAGACCTGACAGAGAGCTGGTGCAGACTAAGATATTCATCTTTATTCCCAGGGCTTTCATTCAGACAAACATCATATACCTGCTCCACTGACCAGAGCAGACAAGATATTGGGGAGGTGAAAATTAATCCAACCAAAGAGTGATAAATCCTTTAAACCTCGAGGCTCTGCCCAGGAGAGCAACGATTTCCCGTACAACACCCTCTCTCTGAACGAAGCCACTTGCAGGAAATAACACCCTTCTGTTTAATGAATTCCAACTTGTGACAGAACTTGAACAAGAAACATTGGCTCACACAAACCGGCCTTACTTTCTGGTATCCATAATGTTACTTTGTGTCCTTTGTAAACAGGGAAGTTTAAACAGCTGTGAGTTTAAAGAGCAGCTGCACTGCTATGTATAATCTCTGAATTTATTTGTTAGTTTTCAGATTCTGAACTGCACTTACACAGCAAAAGAAGAATAGCTACCGAAAGTATTTCATGTTTGTTTTGATTAGATGTTCCATGTTCTTCGAAATGTCTTTTGTTGTTGTTAAGGCCAGTGGACAACACATTATGGAACTTGTTGAGGATATATTCAACTACCAAACTTAGACCGAATGTCCTTGTGCATGTGCTTCTTTTGCTTGCCCCAAAGCAAAAGATGAATAAGCAATTTAATTCATACATGACCTAGACATTTCAGTAAAAAGACAAGCTGTCTGTCGACTTCAAAAGGCTCCTGTAAGTTTTAAATACGCCAGTCTCACATTGGCATTTCAGATTAATGTTGAAAGGTATTGTTTCTGGGACTAAAATAAATTATTCAGGTTCATCTCATTATG